AGCAGACTCCCCAGTGTCAAATATAACCTTGAGCATCCAGGTTAATTTATTTAAATAAACATTAAAAGAAAAGTGTTAAGTGAATATATCAAGTCTGGGATCCCAAACAGTTCCTCATTCTTTTCCTCTCCTTTCATCACCTTGAATGTTGTAAGGACTAATGAGTTAATTTTATTACGAGCTTTGAAGGTGAGGAGTGTTGGATAATTACTAAATATGATTCTTCCTTGTGCTAATTTCCAGCATCAGTGTATCCTTGAATGACCCTAACAAAGTGCAGTTATATCAGTCTATTGAATTCTACTGCTTACCCACTCCTAAAAGTGCAAATTGAAAGACTCAAAGGTGACCAAATTGGGAACCTTCTCACCACTGCAAGGCTTGCAGATATGAACTCTTGCATGCAGAGCTTGCTTGCTTGCCTGCTGCTTCTGTTCTGTGCTCTGTGTCCACATTAGTGCTTCTAACCTCTGGTTTTCATACTCATGGAAACAATGGGATTTTTACAGGAGAATCAGATGAGAGTGAACCCAGTAGCGAATAGTCAATGAGAGAGGAACAAGGAAAGAGGAATAAAAGACAGGTGCTCTTCTAGAATAGCCCAGCAAAATTCCTAGAACAGGTGCTTCCCATCTGGCCCTACAATTTCTGTAATGCCCTGTTAGTGGCCTGGCAGGCAGGCTCTCAGGGATTTAGCCATAGCAAGTTAGCACATTATCATTCCCAGCTGCCCTCTCCATCTCCCTGCTGGAGATCACCACTCCCACAGCACAGCAGGCAGATGGGACATGTGCTGGAGATCAGCTGCCCTAGGTCATGGTGCTTGGTCTCATGTTCAGCCGGAGCTGCCAGCCCAACCCATCAACTGCAGTAACTGAGGCATGAAAGTGCATTCCCTCCTGTTGTCCCTCTAATGGGGATAATATTCTCCTCCAAAGGTACTAGGCTTGTATCCTGAAGGATTGTATATAGACTGCTATAGATCTATCTGACCTTATTCAATTAGGACTTTCTATGAAGAAAAAGAGCAGGAAAAGAAATTCTTGCAAGAAAGATTCAGGAACTTCACTGAGCATCTAACTAGTATTACTCCTCTCTATCCTGTCTTCTAGAATAATCTAGCCAAATTCATTTCTGCTAGCGCTTCACAATGTTAAGCCAAAAATCGTGCACAATGGTGCCAGGCTAAGCAGCGTGCAAGGAAAACCACGTACCAAGCCAATATTGAAAGAAATCACCCCCACAGTATTCAGGAAAGGGTGAAATGGAAGGTGGGATGTGTGGGGTCGGCTGGCACTATCCCAAGTGGCTGGTAATCAATGGCAGGATGCCAGCGACATCCCAAATTTACCTCTCATAGAGTAAGGTTGTACTACAGAAGCTCATCTTTAGTGAAAGCTATGCATTCAGTGCTGGATACACTTGAAAGCTGAGCATTAGCTTGTGGCGCTGATTTCAAATAATGGGTCTAAGAGATCTGACAGGAAAATGATTAGTTACAACAGATGAAGACTTGCCTCCTTCTGAAAGCAGTAGCCTAAAAAGTTTTTAGAACTGTCTGGAAAGAATCTTGAATCAAAATCTTCCTCCTAGGCTCGTTACAAAATCTTACTCCTGCTAGTTACAAATGTTGCAGCCTTAGCCCTTTTCATGCAAAAATACATTAAAAATGCCCTTTTGACCTCAATAAGCACATTTTCACTGCTAAACATCAACATGTTTGCAAAATTTCAAGCATCGTTTTAAGTCTTGGTAATATATCAGAGCTTAACTGCAAAAGCAAAACTGCAACCAGTTGAAGAGTTTCTAGCTTTAATTATGGAAGAGGTAGCAGATTGAAGGGAGTGGGCGGAGGGAAGTCTGGGAACATAGAGTACTGTGCACTATGAAATGTTGCAGGGAAGTGGAAGGCTGAAGGGCAGCCCCACGTATTTTAGAGATTTAATGGTAAATGTTATTGCTCTGCACATGTGAAAGACATAACATGTATTTTTTTTAGTCTCTTCAGATTGAGGCAAACAAGGAAGAATAAGTATTAAACTTCCATAAGAGACACAGTGACTCATAGTTGTGCATCTGAAATGAAACACGAAAGTGGCAACTACCTCGAGTTGCCTTTGCCACAACATGAGACGCCTCAATGCTTAAAGAAAGAGAAGCACAGCAAAATAACTCTGATCACACTGCAAAGCTGAATTTAGAGACATTTTCAGTTATCAAATGGTTAAAAAAGACTTTCTTATTTAAATTACTTTTAGCTGTACACATTCTGCCTACTTGTTTTGGAGTCTAGACTCTCTGGCACCATGGCTCTGGCAATAAAGCCGTCCTTTCGGATGATAGCAGCAGGAAGCCCCCATGTGCACAATGTCTCTAACTTGTTGGATTGCAAAGTCATAGTCTGAATTTCCACAGGGAGATGGTGAGAAAATTAATTGGAGTTTCTTTTGCCGGTGGAAAAGTTTATGTTTCTCAGCAACAGAGCAACAACACGAAATCCAAGTATTGCTAATTCAGAAATTCCCCTGGAGTTTTTCACACAAGTGCTTCCACACTCTCTTGTCTCTGGGGATCAGAAAACACTTTTCTGGATGCACCAGGGTCCCTCTATGCTGCATCTCTGCAGTGCAGCAGGAGAGACTCGTGGCTACAGCACAACATGAGAACGATAATCTGGTTGAGGAGCATAATCTATAGCAAAGGACAGGCTCATTGGATATCAAAAATAAACTACTATGAAGTCCAGATTCATCATATAAAGTTAATGCTTTCTATGGAAGCTTAGCTTTATGAACAAACCCGTCCATCCAAATGGATTTATTGATGGGAAAATTTCAGCTAAATTTTTAAGCTTCTAGTCCAAATACAACAATTCAGTTTGCTGACTAAAGCACAACTTAATCTCTTTGGAAAGCAAAAGAGCATGGTATACATTGCAGTGCCATTTTTTTTTTTTAGCATAGCTCCCTCTGGGAATTACAGAACTGACAATTTTAGTATTTTGACAACCAGCAGTGTTTGTGGGCACCAGTACCCAATATGCTCAGAATCTGAGCAGCTGCTTCCTGAAACTTATCACCACACTACATGCTAAGAACAGAAATGAGAAGGGCTCTTGCAGAAGTCCAGAGGAAAACGGAAACCAAACCCTGAGGGTTGCTAGAGACCAGAGGGTTAGCAGGCACAACTGCCCCAAAGAAAGAGAAGTTTGACGCTATTTCCATCTGGAGCAGGAAACTGCTTTTCTAGGTGGTTGCAACGACTTTTGAAGTTGCAATAACAAAGCAGGAACTGGCAGGAATAAGGAAAGGGAGATGAGACAACCCTCTGACTCCTATCATGCTTGAGCAGCTGATAAACAACTGCAGGTGGCACCTTTTCACCCCTGACTGACCATGCAACCTCAGAGACTGGTCTTTTGGGGTGGAGGAGAAAATCCAGCACAGGAGAACAGAGCTGTGGGCAGTCACTGTCATCTGTCTCCTTTAGTTAGTTAAATTTAGCAGAGCTTAAAAACTTGGGAGCTCCATTTACACAACACGGATAATTCCAGTAGGGGAGAGCTGGGCTTAGCTGGAGCCCCCAGCCCATTCTGGCTCTTTCATTCATTTCACACTCTCCTCTAGGTAAGTAGGCTTTAGCTACCCATGCCTGTTCCCTGCAGACTTCTACAGGTGTGGAAGACGGCTGTAGAAATAGGGTCAAGCTGGGAGCTAAGGCACTCCGGACACATCATCTCAGGTTCATAACAGACATTCTTGATGCAAGTTTCACCACAGCATCAAAGTAAAATTCTCCCAATTAGTTATTTTCAATTCAGTGAGAAGTTTATCTCAAAATACAAGTTTAGAAACAGAATTCAATTCCCAAGTCCATATTTTATCATGAGCAGCTTTATCTAAACTGAGGAGCCTACAGCTGCTTCTGCATGTACCATAGTCGCATGTGGGTACATCCTATGACATCTCTGTTTTCTCCAGAAAAAGAAGTGGGATTCATGGGCCAAACGAGAAACCACTGTAAGGACCAAATATCTGCCTAAATCAGGTCTTGAGTCTTTGGCATACATCTAACCTATTCATCTATGGGTTAAATAAGATGTAGCTGAACTGGCCAAATTTTCCATCTCCAGCCATGGTCCAGCTCCAGCAGCAACTGAGCTGTTGGTTGATGTTGACAGCTGTCATAAGATTGAAACACTGCCAAGTCTTCAAAAGTCCCAAAGAGTTTAAGCGAAGATGGTGCTGAGGGACAGCAAGGAAGAAGGCAGAAGTAGAGAGAAAGCAGTTGTATTTGTGCAAGAGTTTTGGCAGCTTTGTGCTCAGAAAGGGAAACCGTGGAAACTGGTAAGAACCACATTCAAGTCAATCATCAGCCACCGGGATCCCTTGGCCTCCCACTCCGCTATCCATCTCCCTCTCTTGGAGATGCGTTCCTGGGTTAGAAATATTACATGATGGTGGATCCAGAATGAAATATTGCAGGATCTCACCATTTTATTTTAAGTTTAGACTTCTCATCCCACTTCAGGATTCAGTTTCCCAGGAAGGCTCAAAGCTACTACGTAACGCAAACAAACTAAAAAACATCATCACCATAAAATGCATGTCACAGATGAGCAAGGAATAGAAATGTGCAGACCCTGAAAAGAGTACCTGTGCTAAGGTTTCAGTGTAGAACGAGTAATGACTACTCACCTTTTGGTGAACTTGGTTTCCTTAATCTCCCTCCCTTCTTTCTACACAGTTGGTTTTAGCAACACTTAGGCTATCTGCTGAATGAAGTTCACATTAAGTGGCAGGAAAAACAGAAGTACTGATTAAATATGTGGCACGATCTCTGAGCATTTCAAAGAAACATGTAATTTGGTTTTCATAATAATCACATAGTTTTATTGTTGTTTATATTATATTGTTATATTTATTGTTATACTGTTACTATATAGTTAATATCTCATTAAAAATATGAGTAGTTACTCACTACCTTCTCTCTCCTGACAGATCCTCAGCAGGATTTTGCTTTCAGCATTGACCAGTGTCCTGACATCCCCTCCCACACCTTTAACATTAGAGCTGCCATGATCCTAAGTAAGTGAATTGCTATTTCTTCATGCCATAAACAAGTAATCCCACTGTGTGAGTGCTCGTAAGTGCCCTCACAAGTAAGAAGCAAGTAAATGTCTGAACCTCTGACTAACGATGAATTTCTGAGAAATTTCAAAAACAGGGGCATCATGTGGGACCAGATAAATTTCAGTTCTGTTCTCAGATCTGCCTTAGACCTTCCATGTGAACTTGGGCAGGCCACATCTCTCTGGGTCCTTGCTCAGTTCCCTTTGTATATATAAAGCTGCCAAGGTGACAGCTGCTATAGAGCTTGTCTTCGCATCTAAGCCATCTTGAAATAGTCCAAATGAAGTAGCTATAGCACCCAGAATTCTGTGCTCACTTGGCAGTGCTCTCCAAATTCCCAGTGGCTGACTCTTCCAGGAAAGACACCAAGTGAACTGCAGGGACGCTGGGGAAGTAGGGTGGGAGGACCTCTTTACCCTTTCTGGACACATAGGGAGCGCTGCTGGGACACACTGGAGAGTCAGAGCAGCAAAACTGCTAGCCTGAGGCAATGCTGTGCCATCAGCTCACCGGATGGGCTAGCCAAAAATATATCCTGCAGTGCTTGACTTAAGAAGCTCAAAAGCAAAACTGCCCTCTAGTTAAGGGGCTGGGTGCACAAGCAAATATAAGGTATAGCTTGACTTGTGACCCTAGCCTTGCATGGACAAGAGTGCTTCTTTCAACAAAATAGGCCCCAGTCTCACCTTGAGCCTCCAATACTGCTGGAATACTACTAGATACTACTACTACTAAATACTACTAGAATATAAATACAAGATATTTGGCTCAAGTTTCTGCATGCTCCCTGTGCTGAAAAAAGAGTTTGCTATGTCACCCTCTCATAGCCCTTCCTTGTGCTTCCAGTGCTTCCTTGTATGCAGAGGACTCGTGGTAGGAAGAGCTAAGGACATGCTGCCTGGGAGCACTGATTTTCAGGGGGCTGCAAAGAGAAACAGACCTGCGAATGGGCATTTGCAGATTCTTTTCCACTGGCTCAGATTTCAGGGGTTCTTCTCTAAATCCAGTAGCCTCACCAGCTGTATTGATACAGGGCATGAGTGCAAGCAGGCAAGCTCCTGGCACTGGCCGGTCCCCAGCACAGTTTTCACTCCGGCCAGCAAGCTCTCTCCCAGGCAGCAGGCGTAGGTGCTGGCCTGTTCCCAGCAGACGCACCAGACAGCCACTCTGCTGGAGGATGTGAGGGAAGAAAAAGAGTTTAGATGTATGGACACAAGCTTTACTATGCTAGTTGGGATCAGAGAATGGTCACTAGTGTAGCTTGTTTAACAAGAGTGATGCAGCTATTATGACTCTTGTATTTGGCTGGGGAGACTTACAGATCATAGAATCATTATGGTTGGAAAGGACCTTCAAGATCAAGTCCAACTGGTAGATCTGTCCCTGAAGCATAGATTTCTACATATCAGGAGTTCTCAGTGAAGAGAAAATAACACAATAGCTTAAGCATTGGAGGAAAAAAAAAAAGGTGTGTTTTTTAAAAAATAAAATAATAAACTTGTGCTTCCTCTGAGCTCTCCTCCTTTTTTTTTTTTTGTTTTCAGGACACAGCATCAAGCAGTTGCATGCAAATATTAAACTGATCATAAATGGGAAAACCGTCTTAAGCTACTCGGAGTCACTTTGTGAGCCAGATGATCCTAAAATTATTTTCTGTGGAAAGAAGAAAGGAGGTAATTTAGGTGGCAATCTAAATGTTTGATGGCTACTGAGCATTGCAAGCAGGATGTGCCTGCTGTGTTGCTGAATGAACTGATACAACATAATGTTCTGTTTATTTCAATAGCAAGTTAATGTGTGACAGAAACACAATAGGACAGACATTTTAATTTTAGAGACCTCTTTCTCCTTAATATGTTTGCTCACCTTTTTTAAATCAGAGTATCATACACACATTGGATTTCAAGTTCATAAAAAATACTATGGTAATATTACCCCACTTCACAGCACAGAGAAGTTGTAAGCTCTCTCTCTATATATAGGTATGTATGGGGCTCTGTCTCATGACTGTCACATGACCAATGAGTATTGCAGAACTGGCCTTTATTTTTGTTAAAGGAAAGTCTGTGGAATCAAGTTCTGAATGAAGTTCTGTATTATTAATCAAGTAATGCTTCCTATCCTTGAAGGCAGTTTTTAACTTACTTAAAGAGAAACTATGCTTGAATAAGGATGTTTGGATCAAGATACTGTTTTACACTATCTGTGGTTTCTGTCTTGTTTCAGCTTAACCCTTGTCTATCTTGCAGTCAGAAGGTGTGAGTTTAGTTCATGCCCATCAACCCAACGCAGCCTAGTTATTTCACAGTAGCATTGGCTACCCTGGCAAAATATCCACCTTTGGTCACAGGTGGGCCTGGCCATCCCAAGGACCTCATCTCAATATCGGACCAGGTGCTATTAAGGTAGCCATGGTGTTTCCACAGCCTCTAGGCTGTAATATCAATATAGATATTGCGAACAGATATCAGTCACTGTGAAGTTCCTTTTCTTTATATTATAACCATCTCTTTAGGCTGGTTTTAAGCAATTATAACCATCTCTTTAGGCTGGTTCGGGAAAGCTTGTCACAGATTTGTTAGTGAGCCAGTTAATTTCAGAAACTCCACTTCCTTTCCATTCACTTGCATGTCCATCATAATACTCCTGCAATAATTCATGTGCAAACACCAGAGGTTTGACAACTGAGCATACCACTATTGCAAAGACAGGCCCTGGAAAAAAAATCACTAAGACATTTCACACAGCATAGAAATATCACAAAGAATAATAGAAAAATGCTGCATGAGCAAGCAATTATGTAAATCCTGTGAGCCAGATAGACAGAAAAACAAAATTTAGAAGCATCTTCAATTTTTGAGCTTTTGAGTATTGAGTCATAAGACAAAAAAAAAAAAACACATACACACCCACAGACCTACTGAAAAACTGTCTTATTCTGATGAAGTACTTAATAACATCCTTTAGAAAATACATTAAGGAGAAGTAGAGTCAATCCTGAGACAAGCACAAACTGCTATTCACACATTATGCCTCAAAGCTAAATTATCCTGAGGTTTCCAAGTCCTTAATCTTGGACTGGCAGAGGATTGTTTCTCCTAATTGAAGTACATTATGATATAAAACCGTAGCTGGTTATTTAAATAGCCTCATGCATCTTCATTTAGAACCATCCCTAGTAAGTGCAAGGACCTCTGCCACACACTTTTTTAAAAAATGCCACCTCCTTCAATAATTATTTTTATTTAGTAATTAAGTCACAGTGAAAAAGTGAAGTTTTTCAAACCACCAGAGTTCGAAATGAAACTGTGGTATTTTTTAATTAGTTGATACTTGATTTTAATCTATGTTATAGGGCATCCAAGTGAATTGAAGTTTGACACAATTCAGTGTAGCCATGTTTTGAGTATAAGAGCGTGGCTGTAAATCTGACCTAAAATCTATGGAAAAAGGACAACACTGTGAATGGTCAAGTATGTATCTTAGCAAAGATGAAGAAGAGTAGATAGTCCTGAAGCTTGTTATGTAAAGTTCCATTTTCCCTGTTTTACAGGCAACATTTCCAACAGAGATCTGACCTGAGTTTAAATATAGTTCCACACAGAATTTGTTGGCCACCACAAGAAGGCAAAAATGGTGCATCCCTCCCTCTCCTGATGACAGAGTGTATTTGTACTGCAGGTTTTATTGGACTGCTTGTGTTGACAAGTGAAGCAGAAGTTACAAGGAAAAGAGATTTATAAGAGCTGAATGTGAGAATTTTTCTCTGCTATTTTATAATGCTACAACTTTGCCACAACTGGAAAAAATGTTAGGAAAACTAATATAGCTGGATGCTTCCCTAACATATTTATTATTTATTTTAAGCAAAGGTCACATCTGGCACAGCTCATTAGGGATTTTAAACAGCATTCCAAGACCTTTTTCTTTGAGGTATAATCCTCTTCTGAAGCTGCAGGCTCCAAGGTTGCAAGGAAGTGGGCCATTTCCCATTTAAGAACAAACAATAACAACAACAAAAACAGCCAAATTCTTTGTGGTATAACTGGAACTTAGCTCTTCCGCTTTTTTTAGTAGGAAGACCTGCTTACTCCACATTTCCTCTAAAGAATATTGTTGCATAAGATTTAACAGATTTCCAATGCAATAACAAAAATCAGAGAAACATACCTAGTATGGTAATATTAAGCAATGTGCTAACCACAACTTGCAGGCTTAATAAAAACTTCTTGATGAAAGATACTTGGATATTCTGCAAGCCCACAAGTTTTCCTCCGGCCTCAACTGATGAAGGCACCACCTGACAACTTGTACTGTCTCTCGTGCGCGCTGTTGTGCTAAACAAAAACCACCCCTAACTCTGGGCCTGCATTTTTTAGATTACCTCATTTGGTTAGGTATTGCTGTATGTTTGTTTCTAAAATGGTATTTGAAGATAAAATAGAGAATGGGACATGGACTGGATCTCACTTTGAGAGTTTCAGTACATGTTTGTGAGGAATCAACTACACCATAAAGTTAGGTCTTGACTGTTAAGCCATTGCTGTTCCCACTAGGCTCTTCAACTCAGTTTTTCCTTCCCAGTAGAGAGAGTGCATGTTTCTCATTCAGCTACATATTTATATAGATTTTTCTCATCCATCTAGCAGTTGGGTGAGATGGCAGTTATTCAGATCATTCCTTCATCCCTAAAATTCACAGAAGTTCTATACCAGAGCTGCATGGGTGCAAGATCGTGTCCTAGAAGAACTCCAACATGGCGCATTTAAGTTCTAAAAAGATTTAAAACACAGAAAAAGGAAGAGGTGGGTGCAGATGTACAGGGCCTTTATATAGTACAAGAGTGTGAGAACGTTAAAAGATTTTCAGTGCAAGGAAGATCTGAGAAAGAGGAGTGAGAATTTCATTATAGGTGTTTTGTCAGGAATGAGAGGCATCTTCATGATAAATGATAACTAGTAACTTGAAGTAATTCTCTGGAAGTTCTTACACATTTGAAAGCTCTGCTTCAGACTAGAAGCTTCCAGGGGCCCAATCAGCAGCCAGGTAAAGGACCAAGCTACTTTAATAAGAAATAATAGTAAAAATCTGCTCCAAAATATACAATCAAATCACCCCAAATCAGCAATCCATTAGAAATGTTTTACAAGATATTCCAGAAATCACCTCAATTAGGTCTTCAAGAAAAAGAGTTGAATGTGAAAGGCAGGTTCAGTACACCACTGATTACAGAACACTGACAGATGCTGTAACTTGCAGGCATATAAAGAAACAGGGGGACTTCTTATTTAGAAAAATGCAGCTCTGCATATAAGTGTGTGTGTGTGTATAATCACATATTTTCTCAGCTATAAAAGCATCCAAATTTAGACAGAAAAGCTCTAAAAAGACCACACAATTCATTCAATCAGCTAGGCACACAGTCTGTGAAAGTTACACTTACTGAAACAGTTGTGTTCATCCTCTTTCAATGGAGAATATAAAAACATACAACTGTATGAAGGCTACTATGATAAATTACAGTCCTTAAAGTCTAAAGTATGTGTACAGAAGAACAGTAAATGGGCTTTAAAGAACTTCATCCAACCACTGTGCTCACTGAGAATGTTGCTATGGTTAGAAATGAGCATAGCCAATAAAATTCAGCAGATTTATGTCAGTTTCTGGAAGGCCTCAACTAGCTGAAAATTAAGAAAGCTTTTCTTTTTTTCAGCAGCACATGCACCTTCCCCGGAGAACACCCTTTTCCCATGCTAGAAACAAGGAGAGTCACAAGGGTTTTCTAGAGGCCTGGCTGACAACATAAGCCATTGCAAGATCCTTAGTTAGAAAGAACTATGCGAGGACAATTTTGAGGAATAAAGTAGTAAATGTGGAACTCAAACTGAGTGCACAGGACCCAGGTCCACAGTTTGAACTTCCCCAAAAGACGGCATAGCCCAGAGTGTGGGTCCTTTCATTACCAACAGCACAAGGAGTACAAGGGTGTAGCCACCATGCACCAGCCACTATGCAGGAGCAATCACAGAGACTCTAACAAGGAGGGTTGAGGCAGAGCCCTAGATCACACTGATGTAATCAGATGTAATCACTTTGTCACGGTAAAGTGAGGAAAAAAACATCTACCACCTTCACTAAAGGAGAGATTAGTATCTCCATAATTTCAGAAGCAAATGTATGAACTGATGACACCTACTTCATTTTGAAATATATACTTCGCAAAGCTTCAATGCTGCTTCTTGACATTTAAATTCTGGATTGCTTTCTTATGACTTTGGTAGGATCCTAATGAGCCACCTGAGCCAAGAGGAGTTTCCATGTCCCACTGCAGATTTCAGGGGAAGAAAGGGTTTTTTGGTTGCCCTGTTTGCTCCCTCTTTACTATCCTGTGTATCCAGCAATAGTCGGGCTCAGACCTGAGGTGGATGCTGCTTTTCTCTCTCTCCAACAAGGTCCACTTTAGACCATTTACTGAAACAGATTGCATACAAACCATGACTCATTGCACTGCACTGACCACACATGGGGCAGCTCACAATATGTCTTACCAGACATCAGCACATCTACACTCCAAGTCCCAGGGGAGTCACTCATCACACAAGTCGTGCAGTATGCAGTGTCTGTAACTACCATTTAGGCTCTAGCAAGTTGTGAAGTGAGGAGTGGGTTGTGCTGTATTTTTGAAATCTTGAGTCACAGCTCTGCAGTGGAGATGTGTCAGACTACAGCACTCTAGTTTTATGCATGGAAGCAAACAGCAATGGCAACCACTCTTTGAAAAGAAATAGACTTCCTGTGGTTCAGGCAAAGTGGCCAGAAAAACAGAGAACAAAGGGAACTTCTGCAACTGCTCTAGTTAATCAGTTTGAGAGTAACAAGCCAGAACACACAGATTCTAGTCTCAGTTTGGGTAAAAGGTTTTTCAGGGGAGCACTCAGAAGTCATGCTCCACCTCCTAGGATCATCAGGGCATGACCTCTAACAAACTCATCACTAATGCAAAGCTGTAGGACATTGATGATGTCTCAGGTTTCTCTTACTCTCTTCCTGGTCCATATTGCAGTCATGAATAAGTTTGTTAAAAAGCATTAGCTAACATTTCAAATATGTGTGAGGAAGACATTCTCTGAATACTTTTCTGAATTGTCGTGGGATGGACCATGGGGCACAAACATGTGACAAAACCCCTTTTCCACCCTTTAACTGGGAACAACTCAAGGCATACAGAGTGAGATGGGACTAAAACAGCTCTCAAGAAGTAACAAGCATAAGGATGCCAGCAGATACTCATATAAATACGATGAAATGCTTACTCCCGTGTCACTGTCAAAGTAAAGAATATTTCATGACACCTAAAAAAGAGAATCCTGAGACAGTTCTCTGAATTTTCTATGACTTATGTAAGGCAAGTTGTTCAAAAAAAAAAATCTGTATTGAAACATTGAAGAATTTTATTTTCAATCAATCAAGACTACTGAGTTTGGGCCAGTAAGTTATGGGAAAGTAGGAGGAATTGCAGAAGAGCTTGTGAATTCCCCAGCAGGGCTGAAATCAACTTTTTTCCTACAGTGAGGAGAAAGTATGTCTAGCAATGAGGGAGATGAAGACTTGAAGGTGGGACTCCTGGGCTCTATTCCAATCACCAACACAACTTGTGTTGGCTTTAGCACATCACATAACTTCTTGGTGAATGTTCTCTCAACAGCAAGATAGACACGTTCTTATTACTTTAAGGTCATGTTCAACAAGCAGTCAGAAGCTTACACCTACAGAAGGACTCATCTCAGACCTTTTTTTTTTTACTTAAAATTACCAAAAACAGTATAGGTTGACTCTTGCAGCTCCAAATGCTTAACAGGCACAGGCATGGATTTACAGATCATGCAGATCATGCTGCTAAAGGACTTGTGTGTAGCAAATCCCAGTCCTTTAATTTCCTCACTTGTAGGATGCACACTGACAGAGGAATATCCACATTGTTGGGCAAAAACACATCCCCCTTCTCCACTCAAACACAGATTGTATTTGCTTCTTGAGCCATGGCCCTGCCTTCCGCATAAGACAGCACATGCCCTGACATCTCTCTCAGGAGGGCTGTTGCAAGACCATGCATGAGCACTTTACAGTTCTGTAACACTTGTCACCAAAGCACTTTGAAGTGCTAGTACAAAATATCATCTATTATCAGCCGCTTTTTTCTTTCATGTGTGGAACAGTGTCTAACCACCCATCATCATATTTATCTTTCAGAACATATCTACTATGAGGGACCAGTCACACTAGGAATCAAAGAAATCCCACAGGTAAGTTTGTCACAGCTATACTCCCAAATAGAAGTACTTTCTAGAGGGCGCATGGTTAGAAGACTACAAACCATCATGTCAGCATATGTGAAGCTCTCCCAGTCTCCACCTGGAAGTCTCCACCTGGTGTAGGGTACGGCAGTCAGAAGATCTCGCGATGAACGGAAAGAATAGGGGAGATGGGCATGTGGAATGGGAAGAAGGGTTGGCCAGGGATGAAAATGATAATGCTGATTACTTGCTAATTGCTTGATGGACTAAAGGATTTTCTGAGGCCAACTGTTAGATGGTAACGGAGATATAGGATACGGCGGTCAGAAGGGGGCGTGCTTCCACACACAGGTGCCCTACATAAGTTTGGATGTCACAGGTGCCCTACATAAGTTTGGATGTGTTAGTGAATAAGTGCCAAGTGCTGCATCCACCATAGTGGTGTGTGTGCTCATTTGGCCTGGGTTCCCGGGTGGTGGAACCCATGCCTGCTTGATGCGTTGAGGCAATTGAGGTCGAAAGGCAGCAACCTGGTAACGTGTGGACGCAAATCTTTTTCACCATGAAATGAAACAGATTTGATTAAAGTACTAGGAGAGTCATTATCAACCAGAGAGAGACAGGGTGTTTCAGGATGCTGAATCTTCAGCCAGTGCTAAGGGATGTGCTCATGCAGTTCTCTTAGTAGACTGCTCTCCATTACTCTTAAACTGGCAATAAACAAATCCTCCAAAGGATTCCTGAGACAGTAGTGAGCTGAACAATTTGGAGACATTCATTCTCCTTGGCTGTAAGGGCTATTTAGATAACTACTGCAATTGTACTTTTTCCACTGTAGATATACAGTGTTAGATCCAAAGATAGGTCTCCTCTAAGTTGATATTGACAATGCAAGTCATGAAGTCTAGGAACATTTTCTCTAGATTCATGAAGCCTTAAGATAAGAGATGAATTTCTTAGAAAGATGAGAAAGTGCTCTAGGCACTGCTCATATTGAGTTTCTTGCTTATCCACCAAGGGTGCTCTTTGTGAGCAGCCTTCCTCCACATCGAACTAAATCTCCTTTCTAAACTACAATCAAATCATATTGCAAAGCAAGACAGGTCCTAAATGCTAAAAGTACCATCATCTCTCAACTGTGCACAACTTGAAGCTATCTATGTTTGACCAGTGAATAATAAAAGGTTTTTAGCCAGGTACCTGAAGAGCCTAGATTGAAAGGGAGAGGACAAGATACAGATCATCAAGACATCTGGTTGAGAATGTGAGGGAAAAAGAAGTAGTCACCACCATGAGAGCTTGCAGTCCAGATGTAACCATCACAAGTGGGTCAAACACTCTCTTAGATTTACTGAGACCTTCAGTAGCTGACATAAATCTACATCACAGTCTCAGAGAAGATCTGGGGCCTGCTCAGGACCTGCTTGATGCAGGCACAGAAAAAAGAGGAGACAGTGTCAGAATGGGGAAACAGAATGAGAACGTAAGTCCTGGAAAGTTGGGTTTGCTGAGATCTGTTCTCTTGAGAACAAAAATGCTATTTCATGGAGAATCAAGCCTCTGTAACAGCTACCAGCACATTTCCTTATCCAAACATCTGAAGGGAGCAGTTTTGACTATTTTTCAAAAAGCTAGAGCTTCTGTAAGATTGAGATTTCTGTACTGCAATGCTATAATTCTCCCACAAAAGGAATTATTAGTTCTTTCAACCACACAATTTGAAATTAAGCCCCCTCTAGTTTTATTATATAGTAATTCATCACAGATCAAATCATCTACATATATGCATCCAAATTTTATCTTCTATAAAAAATTGTATAAAGTGAGAACAGTGTATGACTGAACCATGGGACTAGAACAAGAGAAGTGCCAGAAAACTGGAGGCTTCTTCCCTTTCTTACTACTAAATAGCACATGCCATACTGTGGTTGCTCATAAGGAGCATGAGAAACCACACAGATTCAGAAAGAATTTTTATACATCAAAACATTTTGTTCCCCCTGCACTGTTTTAATTTTGAACTTCTTGTGCTGTCAGTATTGATATTCCTGATGAGAGTCTTTTGGCAGAAAATATGGATAACTCCTTTACCAGTTCTATATCGCATTTGGACTGCAAGATTTTTGACGGATTTGATGGGAAAAGTATTATTTTGTTACTAGGAAGAGGACTCTATCATAGAAGCAGCAACAGTTATTTAATACTTGCTGGCTAATCTCTTATTTTGTGCTTGTCTCACGCAGGGAGAGTACACTATTTCAGCAGTGCTGACTAATGAAGATGGCATCACTGTCGCTTGTGCTGATTTTAATGTGAAAAATTATTTAGATTATTATTAGCAACAAATAAACAATGCGCCTGAAGCCATTTAATTAAAGTTACAGATCACCAAAATTGTTCAAACCAAGTGAGCTACTTGCATGCTACAATGATTTTTAAGGAAATAATTTGCACATGGTTGTTTGGATGCTATTTCTCTTTGTAATTCTCTCTTTTCAAGATGTCAGTAGACCCTCTAGTGGTAATCTTATCTCTAAATGCACACTGTAACACACTTTTTGCTTCTAACATACACAGTTGCAAATAGCTGTTGATACCAGCATTCTGGTCTCAGAATGAAAACAGCACCAGGCAGAACAGGTGAGAGCCTAAACAATTTTTTATAGTGAGTCGGGGAGTAAACATTTTTTAACATATGCTACAGACAACTTTCATATGTATTACCTATAGTTACAGTTACAGCACTCCACATTTTGAAATCTTCCTCAAGGACTGGACCTGCCAGGACTGCCAGATTTTGTTACAGCCACTGAACAAAGACCAAACATTATGGATATGTCTTTTTTTTCCCACAGTGTTCCATGTCCAGTCATTTCACTCACATCACTCCAGTTCTCAGGAGTCTACTTTAATTTCTTTTTCATTTTTTTAAAATGTTTTCAGCAACACATTAATCATTCTGTTTTTAAGCTATGCATTCTACTTGCTTCTCAATAAATTCATAATAAACGAATATTTTTCCTCAATTATATGTAAGAGCATTCCAAAACTTTAGTCAAAACAAAGTAGAAAAAAAAGAGTGAAACAAGTGAAATTCCCCCTCCTCCTCCTGCCCTCTTTTTTTTTTTGCTTGAAATATCAGTCATGTTGATGTCCATATACATATATATATGTGTGTGTGTGTGTGTGTGAGCACATATATATATTAGCAGTGGACAAAGCATTTGAACAGAACCCCCCCACACACAAAAGAAATACACACGGTCACACCTCAAGCTCCCCAGTGCAGCACATCACTGAAACCTCTCCCTGTACCAGGAGCCTTTGCAGATGACATGACTGATGGGTAGGTAACAGATCACAGGGGTTAGCATCTTGGGTTGGAGACCATGAAACTGGTGACCTATTTGGTGGAGTGGAAGTCGCTGCAGGGGAAGGATCAGGACTGGGGTTGTGTGCTGATTCAGAGAGAGGAGGGTGGGAAGCAGAGCCTCAGGAGTGTCCTGGAGATCAGTGCCAACTTACAAGGCAAGGTAGCAAGCACAAGACTGCGTGCCTTGTCTTATTCTTAACATGTATGGCAAGGGCAGCAAAGGTTGTGGCCGCTTGGGAGCTCTGGCATGAGATCTCTTTCCTACACACCCACATAATTGTGGTAAAGACAAATTCCTGAGCAACAAGAGCATCCCTGCTGCGCAGATGACCGAGACAACAAAGCGGCCAACAGCTAGAGGGCACAGGATAGTCGCTTGTCTCCCATGTGTGTGGTGCAGCTCTCGCTCACCGTCCCAGCAATCCCAGCAATGATGAGCATCTCCTTGAGACCTGGCTCATGTTAGGCAGGCTTACCACTGTTGAACATAAACCAGCCAGCACTACAAACTGGGACACAGCACATTTAACATACTATAGTTTCAGGCCATTTTCATTAAAACCTGATCGGGAGGGAAAAAAAGGGGGGGGGAGGAGAGAGAGAAAAAAAGAAAAAAATGGAAAAAAGAAAAGGAAAAAAAAAGTAAAAAAAGAAAAGAAAAGGCCAGCATTCTTATCACAGCTGTGGTCACCACTCTCTAGATCAGGGTTCGGTTACGTTTACCTGATGCTGTGTTGGAAATAGTAGTTTCCAACAGTTTGCACAAGTCACCACAGTTGCTATGTTTTAGGTGTTTGTAACTAAGACAAGGGTGTCACAATCAGATATAAGCCTGATCATGTGTACTCTTTCTTCTCACCTCAGTAGCTCAGATTTATCATTCTTTCCATTATTCCCATAAAACATCAGAAGCCAGACCTCAAGAAGCAACAGCAGAAATGCATTTGGCAGTTAGCACTCACACAAGAGTCCGCTTGCTCAACCCTTTTCCACCGCAACCACAGAACAAAAGCATGACTGAAATCCCAGTAAGCCTGCCACCAACTCGCTTTGTCTGTTATCTGATGAGGGATTTGCCAGATGAAAAACAAAACCAAGGGAAGAGAGAAAAGGTAGTTTAAACACTTCCCCTCAAAATCCGTCCTATAGTAGCCAAGTTCCTCTTAGGCAAATTCAGAAGGTTCCTACACCCTGGACCATGCTTGGAGACTTCTCCGGGCCCACAACAGCAAACAAGACAGCCTTTACCTCCATGTGGTGCGAGGGCTTTCCTGGAACATCTAGGGCAGGAGCTGCTGGAGAAGGTCTCAGCTGACCAGAAAGAGGGAATTTAATCACAAGAGTGAGCGACTTGAGATCTTCCATCACTCACCCCTCACTGCCTGCCTCACACAAACACTCATTGAAGAGCATCATTCCATCTGAACAGTATTTGGCTTCCTATCACAGTTTGCTCTTTTTATGTTGCAATTAGCCTGAAGAACCAAGACTAAATCTTAAATCCACCCTTCAAGGATTAAACTGGATCTTCATCATAGCAGGACACTTTGTCATACCACAAAGCCGTGGAGCTTCCTTGTCTAAAAGTCATTCAAAAATTAGCAACTCAAGGCCTCAGTTGCTCTCTAAATCAAAAAGGGATTCGTCTTCAGCCTAAGAAATACATCAGATTTTCCTTAAGTTCCTGTTCCTGATCAGACATTCTTGTACATGATCAAGCATCACAAAGAGGACTCATCTTCCTTAATTCCAGCACAGCTAATAAATCTCCCAATGTCTCAGGTCTGTAATATTTAGGTTACTATTGCACTTGAATTCAAATACATTTGGCAGGTATTGAATTCACTTACTGAAATAGCCTCAGAAAGCTAAATAAGGGCCTGATAGCAACATCCAGGCTCTGAATATAGCTCAGCTGTGCAAGCGTGAGAGCAACATCCTCTAGGGGTTTGTGGCCCTAGTGAAGAAGTAGTTGGATTTTGCAGAAACAAGGACTTGTGAAATTCCAGCCAGCTCTCCTTGAAGTCAGGAGGATGACACACGAGTAAACTGCACAGCTACAACATGGTGCCCAAAGCCCAGTATCAGGCAAAACTGCCTGAATTAGAAAAATCTTTGTGTTGTTACTTTTGTTGTTTTAGAAAATGTTACTCTTTTCATTAAGATCAAACTTTTCAGCTATATTCTTCTGTACTGTTAGTATAGCCCTAAAATAGCACCAGAATAGCTCTATTTTATTCCTCTCCCAGTGTTCAGCAGCACGAGGCAGGGAGGTGAACAGGTCATCTAAAGTATGCAACTCCAACAAAAGCCAACAGGAGTTTTGTTTTGGCTTTTCTCAGGACAATGGGAAGGAGAGTACAAAAGTATCTCCATGCCCAGTTTTAGGCAAAGGAATATGATGAAGGATCTACCTAAAGTATAGACTTCCAGTCTTTTTAATTCATTCTTCTGAACTAACCTTCCAAGGAGTGAGAAAAGCCTTGCAGAAATAGATGGGACAAGACCTCAGCCCCAGGGCTCTGGCACACATAGAATCATAGAATCATAGAACCATTATGGTTGGAAAAGACCTTCACGATCATAGTCATCAAAAAAGTCATCACAGGAAAATAAAATCAATAAACAGTTAAAACAGAGATGAAACAGCTACTGCAATATTTCTGTTAAGAAACAGCCTCATCGTGACTTGAGCATGTGACTTGAGCCACATCTGCCCTTCACAGAGCATTTCTGACAGGCAAAGTTCAGGATTACCGGACACGAATGGAGCACCCACCACTCCTCTATGTCAGTGTACCCCTTGATCTGTGTAAAAATCCAACTACAAATACAACTCTTGCCCATTCATCGTTATGTGGCTGTGCACTGCAGAGACCTGGTTTTCTGTGCAGTAATAGGGTGGGACTCTCATGGAAGACTCTCCTAAACAACAGTTCTTTACCAGATTAATGTGATACTTGTAGCACCATTTAACCACCCTGCAATCAAGCACCTCAAGTGAGGGATGCAGCAACTTCCTCAAGTGACTTAAGAGAGTTGGTTGTGGCAGGTACGAGGATGGAATCCATACACAGATACACAGTCCCCTGGGACCGAGAGAGAGAAGAATCCTGCTTGTATTGCTCTGCCAGCCTTCCAAATTGCTCTAGTTTCCATCAATACCCACATCTCCAGGGAGCACCAAAATAACTATTCTGTCCTAGCTCTGGCTGGATAATGTGGACTGATTTAAAAATAAGAGTCAAAATTTTGAATTAAGTAGTAGTTCTCTGCAGAGTTAAATCAACAGCTTAGTTTCCTGCTGTCTATTCTCTTCCTTCACTGCTCCACATGGTCTTTTCTGTCTTCTTTACACAAAGTTCTTTGTGGCAGGGCCTATATATTTTTATGACACTGTCCTAACCTGTCATCGAAAGCTTCTAGATTTATAGATACCATCAGCTTTTCCCCCTAGCCGTTTCACAACTCTAGCTCAAATGCACAGGGTGCTGGTCTTAAACTGGTCCTGTTCTCAAAGTGACACATTCACCAAGGGATGGGTTCTGAATAGGTACCAATCAGCCTGAAAGACTCAGAGAGGAATAATGACCATCAGCAAGAAAATTAATTGACAAACAGGATTCAAGCATGTCCAGACGGGGGAAAGGGAGAAATCCTGAAGAAGAAAGACAGAAAGACAGAAATCAGGCAGAGAAGATGTTCTCAAAAGGCCCAGTATAAAGGTTCAGAAGGATTTCTCTCTGTGGAGCGTTTTATTGCTAAAGGTCACAGAGCCAATCAGCTTGCCAGGCATAAGCTTGCAAGATGGCAAAACATTCCTTGTTGGCCTTGCGATAATGCCTGTACTATCTAGTTATACAATATGCCCTGGGTTGTTTTCCTAAACCAGGCTGCAGCTGACAGAGGAAATATAAACTACTGTTGTCTTGCACTACAGTAAAACAGCCTCGCATGTACCTTACCTCTCCCGCTTGCTATCTGCCTTCTTCCACACTCACCTGCACAGATGCCATCAGTGCAAGAGCATGGCACTCCCAGGTTGAGCAGGGAACAACTTAAAGAGGTTCAAACTCCAGGTGCTTTGGTTCCGCCACAGCCAGAATAAATATTTACTGATAATCCCGTGACTTCTGTTTGCTTGTGAGGCTCCCATTTTACTAGCTTTCCAATGGTAGGTTTTACAGCTGGGGTTATCAGAGTGATAAAATGCAGATTATTTTTCTCTGTGCTGATTTGTTTCTCCCCAGTTTGATGCAGCTTTGCCTTGAAAA